CCAGCTGGGTCTGAAACAGCAGGCTGCTGCCACCTCGTCCTGAATGCTCTTTGTGACGTTTTGAACCAACTCAGTCTGAAGGAAGACTACAAATTTCCAAGAAAATACTTTGAAACCGCTCTAATTGCACCTTCTAACACCATCGTTCAAAACCAGGGAAGCTTTCAGATGGCCAAACCCTTAGTAGTAGAGTTACTTAACAAAATCGGTCTTTGGCATCAACTGCTAAATTGAACACCACAGCACCTGACCGCTCCTCGCTCCTGACCTGTTATCGCTCCTCACCTGTTATCGCTCCTCACCTGTTATCACTGCTGACCTGTTATCGCTCTTGAGCTCTCCTCGCTCCTGACCTGTTATCGCTTCTGACCTCTCCTCGCTCCTGACCTGTTATCGCTCCTCACCTGTTATCGCTCCTCACCTGTTATCGCTCCTGACCTGTTATCGCTCCTGACCACTCCTCGCTCCTGACCTGTTATCGCTCCTGACCACTCCTCGCTCCTGACCACTCCTCTCTCCTGACCACTCCTCGCTCCTGACCTGTTATCACTCCTGACCTGTTATCGCTCCTGACTTCTCCTCGCTCCTGACCGCCCATCGCTCTTGACCTGTTATCGCTCCTGACCTCTCCTCGCTCCTGACCTGTTATCGCTCCTGACCTTTCCTCGCTTCTGACCTGTCATCGCTTCTGACCTGTTATCGCTCCTGAACTCTCCTCGCTCCTGACCTCTCCTCGCTGCTGACCTGTTATCGCTCCTGACCTCTCCTCGCTCCTGACCTGTTATCGCTCCTGACCTGTTATCACTGCTTACCTGTTATCGCTCTTGAGCTCTCCTCGCTCCTGACCTGTTATCGCTCCTGACCTCTCCTCGCTCCTGACCGCTCCTCGCTCCTGACCTGTTATCGCTCCTGACCTCTCCTCGCTCCTGACCTGTTATCGCTCCTGACCTTTCCTCGCTTCTGACCTGATATCGCTTCTGACCTGTTATCGCTCCGGAACTCTCCTCGCTCCTGACCTCTCCTCGCTGCTGACCTGTTATCGCTCCTGACCGCTCCTCGCTCCTGACCTGTTATCGCTCCTGACCTGTTATCGCTCCTGACTTCTCCTCGCTCCTGACCTGTTATCGCTCCTGACCTCTCCTCGCTCCTGACCTGTTATCGCTCCTGACCTGTTATCGCTCCTGACCTCTCCTTGCTCCTGACCTGTTATCGCTCCTGACCTCTCCTCGCTTCTGACCTGTTATCGCTTCTGACCTGTTATCGCTCCTGACCTCTCCTCGCTCCTGACCTATTATCGCTCCTGACCACTCCTCGCTCCTGACCTGTTATCGCTCCTGACCTGTTATCACTCCTGACCTGTTATCGCTCCTGACTTCTCGCTCTTGACCGCCCCTCGCTCTTGACCTGTTATCGCTCCTGACCTCTCCTCGCTCCTGACCTGCTATCGCTCCTGACCTCTCCTCGCTTCTGACCTGTTATCGCTTCTAACCTGTTATCGCTCCTGACCTCTCCTCGCTCCTGACATGTTATCGCTCCTGACCTCTCCTCGCTCCTGACCGCTCCTCGCTCCTGACCTGTTTATCGCTCCTGACCTCCCTCGCTCCTGACCTGTTATCGCTCCTGACCTCTCCTCGCTCCTGACCTCTCCTCGCTCCTGACCTATTATCGCTCCTGACCTGTTATCGCTTCTGACCTGTTATCGCTCCTGACCTGTTATCGCTCCTGACCTCTCCTCGCTCCTGACCTCTCCTCGCTCCTGACCTCTCCTCGCTCCTGACCTGTTATCGCTCCTGACCTCTCCTCGCTCCTGACCTCTCCTCTCGCTCCTGACCTCTCCTCGCTCCTGACCTATTATCGCTCTTGAGCTCTCCTCGCTCCTGACCTGTTATCGCTCCTGGGCCTCTCCTCGCTCCTGACCGCTCCTCGCTCCTGGCCTGTTATCGCTCCTGACCTGTTATCGCTCCTGACCGCCCCCTCGCTCCTGACCTGTTATCGCTCCTGACCTCGCTCCTGACCTGTTATCGCTCCTGACCGCTCCTCGCTCCTGACCTGTTATCGCCCCTGACCTGTTATCGCTCCTGACTTCTCCTCGCTCCTGACCGCTCCTCGCTCCTGACCTCTTATCGCTCCTGACCTCTCCTCGCTCCTGACCTCTCCTCGCTCCTGACCTGTTATAGCTCCTGACCTCTCCTCGCTCCTGAACTCTCCTCGCTCCTGACCTCTCCTCGCTCCTGACCTGTTATCGCTCCTGACCTCTCCTCGCTCCTGACCTGTTATCGCTCCTGACCTCTCCTCGCTCCTGACCTGTTATCGCTTCTGACCTGTTATCGCTCCTGACCTCTCCTCGCTCCTGACCTCTCCTCGCTCCTGACCTGTTATCGCTCCTGACCTCTCCTTGCTCCTGACCTGTTATCGCTTCTGACCTGTTATCGCTCCTGACCTGTTATCGCTCCTGGCCTCTCCTCGCTCCTGACTTTTCCTCACACCTGACCTTTCCTCGCTCCTGACCTCTCCTCGCTCCTGACCTCTCTTCGCTTCTGACCTGTTATCGCTCCTGACCTCCAATCGCTCCTGACCTTTCCTCACACCTAACCTTTCCTCGCTCCTGACCTTCCCCTCATTTTCTGACCTTTCCTCGCACTTTACGTTTCCTTGCTCCTGACCATTCCTCGTACCTTGTTTTCCTAGCTCCTGACCGTTCCTCACACCTGACCTCTCCTCACACCTGACCTTTCCTCACACCTGACCTTTCTCACACCTGACCTTTCCTCACACCTGACCTTTCCTCACACCTGACCTTTCCTCACACCTGACCTTTCCTCACACCTGACCTCTCCTCACACCTGACCTTTCCTCACACCTGACCTTTCCTCACACCTGACCTTTCCTCAAAACCTGACCTTTCCTCACACCTGACCTTTCCTCACACCTGACCTTTCCTCACACCTGACCTTTCCTCACACCTGACCTTTCCTCACACCTGACCTCTCCTCACACCTGACCTCTCCTCACACCTGACCTCTCCTCACACCTGACCTTTCCTCACACCTGACCTTTCCTCACACCTGACCTTTCCTCACACCTGACCTCTCCTACACACTGACCCTCCTTTCCCCACACCTGACCTTTCCTCACACCTGACCTTTCCTCACACCGGACCTTTCCCTCACACCTGACCTCTCCTCACACATGACCTTTCCTCACACCTGACCTTTCCTCACACCTGACCTTTCCCCCACACCTGACCTTTCCTCACACCTGACCTCTCCTCACATCCTGACCTTTCCTCACACCTGACCTTTTCCTCACACCTGACCTCTCCTCACACCTGACCTTTCCTCACACCTGACCTTTCCTCACACCTGACCTTTCCTCACACCTGACCTTTCCTCACACCTGACCTTTCCTCACACCTGACCTTTCCTCACACCTGACCTTTCCTCACACCTGACCTCTCCTCACTACTTTCCCCAGATATATTCTGACTCGAAAAATCAACACAAAATATCCTTTAATATAAAAAATAGTTATAACTGCAATGCGTCTTTATAATAATAATAATAATAATAATAATAATAATAATAATAATTTGCGTGATTACATATATCCTCAGATTTTATCGGGTATACCCAATAGGGAATAACTACAGTAGTTAAAAGTTTTTTTATCTGACTGGATTAAAAAAATTAGATCTGATGAATCATAGGTCAAGAAAGGTGTATATTTTTTATCATGCAGCGTAGGTGTTAATATCTCAGTTTTTTTTGACGTAAATTCATAGTATAATTTCCTGGCGATAGTGACTTGACAATTCTTCCACTAAAGAGGTTCAGATTTTATAATGCTGATGTTTTAAACTCTGAGGTTCGGATTACCTTTGGATTTTGTAGTTTCATATTTGCTCTTTTTATTGAACTAGAGTGATGGCAGTTAACATGTGATACAGTGAGGATGCCTCGCGTGATCGGCTTCAAACTTTTTATGTTGGTGCATTTTACTGACATAGAAGGCTCAGGTTTTTCTGGCTTTGTATTTGCTAATTTGCCAATTCTATTAAATTAACTGGTACATTTGTTAGAGGGGACTGAAGTGACATGGGTGACTTGGACTTTAACCTGCAAGGAAGGTGCCTTGATGACGGTGAAGGGCTCTTGATCCATGGTATCAGGCCTAACCTCACAAACAGCAGAGGATTTGAAAGTCCACACCAAGGATATTTGCTGAGACAAGCGACGTATTTCTATCTAGATAATTGTATATTATCTAAGTGTCAGAAACAAGGACAGAAAAGCAGAAGGCCCTTTTCCCTTCTACTCCCGTCCTTGGCTATCCTGAGAGATGGAATTTTCCAAATGATGATAACTGCAGTTATGCTGGAACGAAACCTCTGAAGTTTCCAGAATTAATTAACATTTATTGGAATACTTGACTATATCATCATTGCCCTATAATAATGATATCGTTGGATGATAGTGTTGGAATCCATCAGCTTAGGGTGATGGATTCCAACACTGTGTACGACTCCCATCCTGCGTGATAGAATATGAGAGGGAACACACAGCTTTTGTTCCCACTGTGTAACTATCACACAGAATAGGGAGACAGAATACCACTGTATCCAGTTTTGTTAGGCATGATAAATGAGACACTTGTGCAGCATTTGGGTATCTTTATTCTGGAAACGTTTTGCCAGCCAGTGGCTTCTTCAGTCCAATGCAGAGAATGGTGGAAGAGGAGTTTGAAGTAATCAGTCCCTCAGATATAAGAAATATTGGCTCGAGCATCACTACCTCCCACTTCCCCAAGGTCACTGAGAGTTAGTGAGACTTTGTAAATGGTCCAAGTCGGGCCGAAATGTCATCGTAAGCTCCTCTCTCCTATGTGCGGGTTATTTGTGTATTATTCCAGTCACGGTATTGTGACTCTTTGTTATTTGAGAGCTGAGTACTCATACACGAATTAAAATGACAGTGTTGACCTGTTGATCCCGTTGCTTGCAGGTTGCGTGGATAGCGTTCGACAAGTCAGCCATCCTGACGGTCCAGGACCACGTCATCACCCGCAACCCCCGTGTCAACGTCACCCACGACGGTCACCGCACGTGGACGCTGCACCTGTCCCGCGTCAACGCCACGGACGCCGGCACGTACATGTGTCAAGTCAACACCATCGTCGCCAAAAGTCAGTTTGGCGTCCTTAATGTAGTTGGTAAGTACCCACATTGAAAGTATTTCCTTTTAGTGAAGAGTTCCGCATCCAGACAAACGGAGCTATATCCCCCCTTCCTCGGATTAACCACCTCCCATTCCCCCTTCCCCTAGGCGCTGTATGATCCCTACGAGCTTAGCGCTTCCCCATCAGTATAACACTACACATGGGGTTGTCAATACAAGGAACTCTCCACAAGCTATGCATAAACTAACAATTAAACAAACTGTCTTAGAACTAATCATCAAGTCGAGATTTGATGATTAGTCCAGGACGGACCGAAACATCCTCTTGAAACTTAAGTGTGAGTTAATTATGAATTGTTCCCGCACGTTAATGTGGGTAAATTATGAATTGTTCCAGCTACGATATTGTGCATTAGTTATGAATTGTTCCCGCACGATTTTGTGGATTAGTTATGAATTATTCTGGCTACCCTATTATGGGTTAGTCGACCCATACCATTCATGGGTCGACGCTGGCACGCTTCTACTCGCCTCTAAGAGAATTTTCTCCTATGCGTTGCTGGACTTTCAACATTGCATAGCTCCTGACGGCGCATGAGAGTGCAAAAAGAAGTATCTTTGCTCGATTCAAGCAAAGACGCTTCATTTGAACATACCTGCTTGGAATTCCTCCTTTTATCTGCATCATTGCAAGCTCCTGATGTGTTGATTGCAACACGAAAGGCCTAGAGTTGTCATTCAACTCCCCCCGTAGTTGTAGTGCATTATGTATTGCTTCTTCCCGATTATTGCATATATATATATATATATATATATATATATAATATATATATATATATATATATATATATTATATATATATATATATATATATATATATAATGTGATAGGTCTACACAAGCAAATTAAGAGTGAGCAAGCCATGCCGATGCGGTGACCCCCACGACCACGACCCAAGACACTGGACCACGACCCACGAACTATGACCCTCGACCGCGGGAATATGCAGACAGTGTCTCCTGTCTCTCTATCACGCAAAGTTTTCTTCTTCAGCGGGAGTTAAGAGGAGCCTAGAGCAGCTCTTGCTGGGGCTCTGATGACGAGGTCACCACAGCCAGCCAGGAAGGATCAATGTATGGAAGATGGAAGCGAGAAAGGAAGGATGGGAGGAAGGTTGGGGAGGAAGGAAGTTACGAAGATAGAGAGAAAGGAAAGATGGAAGGAGGAGGAGGGATAACATAATGTGGAAAGTGTGGAAAAGCGGAAGGTAGAGGGTGAAGAAGTCAGGACAAAAAAAAAAAAGCAAGAAATAAAAGAAGAAAGATTGGAATGGGTGATGGAAGGACATGAAGCGAAGAAAGGAAGAAGGAAAAAGGAATCTTGATGATTTAACTGGTATCTCTGGTATGACGAAATTGTCGAATTGTTTTGATATAAACTGAAATTCACAATGAGGTGAACGAAACTTTTTGGGAAAATTCAGGAGAAATGTTGGAAGACAACTCAGAACTTAAAGGAGAATCGAAAGTTGTTGAGCTCTTGATTCAAGGGATTGGAGTTTTCTCCCTTTTTCCTTTGCTCAAACCTGATTACCTCCCATTTTCCCAGGTGCCGTTTAATCCCTACGAGTTTAGCGCTTCCTCGTAAATGTAATAATAAATGGATTGTTTTGGTCGCTCCTTGAAGGTATTTCCGTATTCCATAAGACCGGCCCGGCCCGGCCCGGCCCGGCCCGGCCCGGCCCGGCCCTCTACCTCTATGAAAACTAAAGAAACAGTGTAAGGCAGTCATTAAAATATTTAAATTCTAACCCATCCAAATATAGCGATGTGTATACATGTGTGTGTGTGTGTTTGGTCATGTATGCTTATACATGCACACATGTTCGAATATTGGCAAATTTGCACGTACACAATGTAATCATACAGGGTTTTCTCGTCGGTCGTCGTCGTCGTCGTCGTAGGATGCCTCGACAGCTAACGAAGGAAGTCGTTCAGATAACGCATACTCGAGATATCTGACGGAAAAAAATCCTTTTATTCAAAATTGTCAAAGTGGCATCTACAAACTCCAATAACAAGTCTAACATTGTAAATAGGACTCACCATTGACGAAAATCTAAACCAGATCAGAACAAGCTGGTTGTCTATGTAAAACTGACCAGAGGGCATTTTGCACGCGCGTTTAATAACGTAAATATTTTCCTGGTTTTAGTTCGCCAGCGTTGAACATTTGAAGTAGATCAGATGAGGCATTTTCAGATAATTAAAAAATCTTTGAAGAAATAATTAGGAGGATGTGCAGTCGATGTTGCAAGAATGATGAGGTTCACCACATATGGGGGTCCATCACACATGGAGGTCCACCACACATGGGGGTCCACCACACATGGGGGTCCACCACACATGGGGGTCCACCACACATGGGGGTCCACCACACATGCGGGTCCACCACACATGGGGTCCACCACACATGCGGGTCCACCACACATGGGGTCCACCACAACACGGTGACGAAAGTTGCAATTCTGGTTCTCAACCTTCGAACCTGTTGTTTATGCATAGTCTCTCCAGGATCGAAAATATTCAGTTACCCACCTCACCTCCCTCCTCTCTCCCACTCTCTCCCACTCTTTCTCCTCTCTCTCTCCTCTCATCTCTCCTCTCTCTCCTACCATCTCTTCCTCTCTCTCTCTCACCAACTCCCCACCATCCCTCCTCTCCCATGGTCCCCACACTCGTCCCACCTCCCCCCCACTACGCTCTGGCTCAACCAAGGTGCCTTGCAGTACCAGAGATAACATCAGACAAATCCATCTCCCGCAATACTTCAAGAAAACTACTCTCACATACCCCTGACAAGCGCTGCGGCAAAACACACTACACCGCAAGGTCAGCCGCAGGCAGCCAGCCTCGAGTCTGTAGCACCACTGTGTAACCCTCACAAAGTCAGCATCATTGCCAGGCCAGCCCTCGAGTTTGTCGCACCAGCGTGAAATCCCTAACCAAACGCATGAATATACTTGATAACACTTCAAAAACTACTGCTAGACTTTTTCTTGAGTTGAAAGGCATGAGATACGAGAAAATGCATAAGCAGATGAGCTTTACTCAGTTTAGGAGCCATGTTCACGACTTCCAAAATACTCAGAAGCATTTAAAGGAAAGATAAGGGCAGATACTTTGTTATGGAAGTGATCACAACACAAGGAATTAGATGAAATCTGAATATGTAAGCGAATTATAAGTGACTAGACACCATTTCATTGTAAAGCTTGTGAAAAGGGCGAATAAAAGAACGACAAGGATAACAAGAAAGGTAAGAGATGGCTGAGGAACAGTGAAGTAAGAAAGTGAAGGAGAGTGGTAGAAGAAAATTAAGGTGAGCAGGGAGAGGAGGAGGAGGAGGAGAGAGAGAGAGAGAGAGAGAGAGAGAGAGAGAGAGAGAGAGAGAGAGAGAGAGAGAGAGAGAGAGAGAGACAGAGAGAGAGAGAGACAGAGAGAGAGAGCGACAGAGAGACAGACAGACAGACAGACAGAGAAGAAGGAAACGAAAGAGAAAGGTTGTGTGTGAGAGACTTAAGCATTCACACAGGCCGCGCCATCAAGGGCCACCGTGTCTGAATCAGCCATGCCTTGAATTACTGATGCTTTCTACCGTCGTTTGCCCGGTAGCGACTCTGATGTGTGTGTGTGTGTGTGTGTGTGTGTGTGTGTGTGTGGTTTCAGAGGAGAGGGGTCGAGTCTCAGCTTCTGACCTCACTTCTTAAGGTATACCTCACATGAGTTCTTGGTGACCAAGCTTATGGTATACCCAGTTGTTTCAAATGATTTAACCCGTTATGTCACAGCTGTGCTTCCCTAGGTCGTTTAACGAGTCTCTTTCCGTCAGTTTCCTGCAGTTATCTGAGTTCCATTGTGATACTTTGCACAGTCTTTTGTTTTTTGAGTTACTGACTGGGAGACGGGTACAAAGAATTGCTTCACTTACGAGTGATCTTCATCAGGTCAAAATGTTTGCCCTCCGCTTAAGGTTTCATCGGTGGAATACATACATGACTTAGTCCTGGAAACAGTAGACGACGCAGAGAGATAATGTGAAGTAATCAGTCCCTCGGCCCTGGCGCAAGACGCCCACTTTCATATGCTAAACACAAGAAATCAATATTACAATGTTTTTAAAAACACACAAAACTGCACCTAAGCGAAATATAAATATCTGCATTAACTTTTTTTACAACCATTTTTTTTTAAGTTGTACATATATCTACTTGTCATTCTTCAATATTCTCCTATTATTTCCTTCAGTCTGACTCCATGTTCATTTATCGTTACTTTTGGTCTCACTGATCGTGTAGGAATATGGCAGGATTGTTCTTAGCCTTCATCATTCTGTTTTTATAGTATTTCTTTCTACTGTTCCTGATTTCAAATTATTCACTCTGCCTTGAGTTCGTTGTTCAGTTATTCTCAAAGAACACACAAGTAGATGAATGAGATACATGTGCAACACCTGAGTTATTTTTATTGTGGAGACGTTTCGCCAGTGTTTGGCTTTATCAGTCCAGTACAGAGAATGATCCTGGAGACGGTGGACGAAGACGCAGTATTAGTTTGGGGTGATCACTTCCTCACCCTTGATGAATCTGATAAAGATTCACTGTGTTGGACTGAAAAAGCCACTGAATGGCGGAACGTTTCCGCAATGAAGATACCCAGGTGTTGCACACGTCTTCTTCAGTTACATACTACTGCTCTATATTTCTTCAAGTCTCCTCGTCTTAATTTTTGCTTTTAAAAACTCAATCATTTTCATTCTCTCATATATGACTCTTCCTGTGCTCTTGTTACCTCTCTGTTCTATTGTCTTACTTTCAACACATATTTAAATTTTTGCTCCGAGTAAATAAGGATCAGTTCAAACAAGTATTTTTACTGCGTATAATTTACAGGCTAACAACTGTTATCCTACCTCGGTTCATTTACAAGCTAAAATCTGTTATGCTAAATTAACCTTTTTACGAGCTAATAGCTGTTGTCCTACCTCAAACCATACCACGGGTGGGATTTGAACCCGCTGTCAAAGAGTTAATTTGCAAGCTAAGAACTGTTATCCTACAACAGCTTATTTACAAGCTAAGAGTTATCCAACAACAGCTCATTTACAAGCTAAAAACTGT